CATTTTTCAGCTTTTGGCCTTTTTCTTTTCAAGCACACATACAGGTATAATGTTTTTTTCATTTTCCTAAAGCAGATTAAGCCAAGATAAGAACACTTGCATAAGACTGCCTAAAGTGATGGATTATTTGCGTTATTGTAGATCAAGTAAACTAAATTTACTCGCAAACACTCATAAAATTTAACAGTAGTGAATTACCTTACAAACTACAATCTGTAACACAAAGATGTGTAGTGAACTCTACTGAAAGTTACACAGTTCAACCTAAACATATTAGATGTTTATCTTGGCAAACTCGCAGTAAAAACCAGGTCATAGTTGATATTCAAGAAATAATCTGCCTGAATGTACCGACATTGTCGTTGTTGTTATATTGCAAACTAAATATGGCGTGTGTATATAGATTCCAATGCGTAGATTTAATTAATACCAACAATTCAACTTATTGTCGTACTAGTTGTTAACTCTTCCTTACTTTCATAATAAGCTGACGAATTTATATTCGTGCAAGCCACACCTAAGTGTTCACCCATGCATCCTATAGCAAACACAAAGAGATACTCCCCACTTCCCACATGTCCGCTACTGCCACACTGCTTCTTATGTTTTATATGCACTCATGGTCCACAGAATTCCACCCACGCATTTCATAGCACTATTTCCTTCATCGACATTTGCTAAGAGTTTTTGCTTTCGCCATAAAAATATAATTGGCAAAGGGTTATACAAAGTAACCGAACTTGAATGACCAAGCTGTGTTATCTAGATTATGTCTTTCTAGGTTCATGGTTCGTTATGTTCCTTGAAACAGAGAAAATGTAAATGTACTGGGAGCACGTCTTTGTCTTTCAGTACGTAGTTTTACAAAAACATTTCTTTAGCATAAACATCGATTGACAAAATTTTTGGGATGAGCTTATGACCAGGGTTTGTTGGGGTGTAAATGTTCCAACTAATCGTAGTTCATTCATGTAACTTGGTGGATTAAGCTTTTTAATTTCTATATGGAGACTGACAAACTCACCTAGAAGTTTTGATTTTGCACGGAAAACTAGTTCTGATGAGAATACCGCGTGCAAATCTTGACAGGTCTTTTTATTGATAAAATACATCATAATAGCAAATCTGTCCCCTGAGTGTGACCTAAGTATGCAGCCAGAATTGCTTTTAACTGACAGTGGTAACTCCCCGACAACCATTTAGCCTGATTATGAAACTCTTAGTTATCGAAAGTTTTGATCAGTTGTTGAATAGTTCTGTTTCAAGCCGGACCCCTCAGATAATATCGTGATAATTGAGCCATATATAATTAACTGGTCCCAAATTAAGGCTTTTAGCACTGTTTCGGCTGTGATGTCCGTAACTGGGAATATTTTGGATCTGTTCTTGCATTTTAGTGAGTAGCTAATACTGTCGGAGTGGCAAAATAAGTGTTGATTTAAAAAAGTCGTGCATCGGGTGTTAACAACGTTTGAGGGATTTCGGATTCTTTTGGGACACACATGAAAATTACAATACATTACTTTCTCATATTCCTAGGAAAGAATAGGCGAGGTACCACTTTGGTTGTCTTGAAGCAGACTGAATTGCTATTCTTTCATCATAGCAGCTGTTCAGGCCCTAAACTGAAGTCACTGGCCCTGACTGAGCGCAGGATTTAATGGTCACCTACTTTGCAGTCTCCTAACTCTTTGAAACTCATTATTCACTGTAGACTTGTATTTATTTCCTGTCAAGATATTGAAGGTGTTTCCCAATTTCCTTACCATTTGTGTGCCATTTAATTTTGACGAGTTGTGTTATAATGTCAGCGTGTCAGGTTTTTGAGAAGAATATTTACCAGCTTTAGCCTTCGGCCGTTAATGATCTCTGTGAGCAATGCTTTCTTTTCCTTATATGTGTTGGAAATTATTAGCAGCAGGATAAGTAATTGTATATTCCAATAAGAACATCAAGTAACACATTTACGCGAGATAAATTTGCTCAAGAATGAAACTCCTTTACAATTCTTTCCTAACTAACTGGTTGGGGAAACTACTTATAGGTTATTTAACTCATTGTCTGCCAGGTGGCACCTTGGTAATCCCCATACAGTCGTCAGGCACCCTTAATTTTTCCCCAGCAATATGAAAATTAATGGTACTCATTGCGTATCCAGGAGGTCTATAGTACTCAACCATAGCATGTAACCAAACTCAGCCATGTATTTTCCAAGATTGTCAAGAGTTAATCTGCCAGGCGCTGCAAAAATAGGAGCTAGTTCAGTTTGGCCTAACGAGGAGCGTTTAACTTACTTCCAAAAGGTCACGAACAATTGGATGGTGATCTGAAACTAGTGCGAAATATCTGGTGTCAAATGAAATTTAAAGGAAATCAACCTGAACTATCGGTGGTGGCCAAACTGATCTGAACTCTGATCCAGTTAATTTCTGACGAGTAACTTCCAACAAATGAGGTAAAAATTCTCATAAAACGCTAGTTCGTTCTATTTGTGACTACTCAGTCGCTGGAAAAAGGCTTGTTCTTAGTTTTCATCACGAGTTTGTTTTAATGAGGTCAGAATTAAAGGAAGGTTGCGTTCAACAAATCCTGTAAGGCAGGTAGGTAAGTGTAGTCAGACTTTCTTAAATCGTCATTAATTTGTCTCAAGTCATTTAAAATCACTAATATGGTTTTCATAAAAGTCTAAAGACTATTGTTTCGTAACCGTTTGAGTCCCGCTGGCGCTATAATGTTACGCTGATTGTCCAATAATCTTGTACAGAATACAGTAGTCTGGATGGTAAATTTCATAGCTGTCAAGACTTCCGTGTATTTAACCCCAAAGTCAGTCATATTGTCTGTGTTTCTGCCCCCGAATGTTTTGCTTTTGACATTTTTTGTCTAACCCCAGCCGTAGTTGAGACATGAAGATTACTGTTTGTCCCGATTAAGCTCTTTCATTATCATATCTTTTAAAGGCGTGATTGTTGAAAAAGCTTTTTGATTGTTCTGCTCATTACTTCGAGGTTCTCCTATCTACCACCATGATGCAACAAATATATTTTTAGAGTTAGTTTTATCTCTGTCGTGTTTTTCTTTCACGACAGACCTTTACTTCTTGCATTTTCTTTCGCGTTTCCCTGCTAAACTGCATATATCGGGAAAAGATTTTAAGAAAGTGTTCTTGTAAAGTATTCCAAGATTTAATTTGAGTGATTCTTTGGATGCCTTCAATTACGCTAATTATGCTGCAAGTTGCAATGAATAAAGTGACTTTAGAATTCGGGTGAGTCGCACAATGCCCTGTCGCCTATATATTACCCAGTCAAAATGACATTCAGCATTTATTATCTCGAATGGGATTTGATAGAGCAGTATAAATTGGAAATGTGACGTTAGTATAAGTAAATTTTCTACCTGTTCATTGGAACCCATACTTTGTGTACATTTGTTTAGTAACCAGAACCTCTATTTAAAACTGTTGGTTTAAGCTCCTTATTCCTTGACCACCTTATCCACAAGAGTTTAGTCTAAACATAAGATGTAATGCTTGGCAGTACCACCTACCACGGCTCTGTTGGATAATGACCATTTTCACCTAAAAACCAAACCCTTCCAAACATTCTAAATATCTGACACAATAGTTGTTTCTGATTTGAAACTTGGATACATACTTGGCCATGTGTTCACCCTTTGTCATGTTCTGGTATATATACTTTTTGACGTTATATTGTAGTTGTATCCCTTGATCCTGGGACAGCAGTCAACTTTAAGTCGAGGTTCTGCGCAGTCTGTCATTGAGGGGCGTTCCAGAGAATTACATAAACTTTGCATATCATCTTTGCTCGAACACAACTAGATATCTCAGAGCTTTTAGCCAATTGTCATCTTAATTGATAACTTAAAGTGGTGCATATTACAGTTTCCCACTCTCCACATCTTTATTTAACTTTGCTCTAGACATTCTCTTAGAGATAATACTCAGATCGTCTGACATACCACGGATCGGCTTTCTATCAGATTCTCTTGTTGACGTAGAGTACACGGATTATATGGTTCTTTTTTTCAGGATGCTGAGCAAATTTAGCGTCTTCTGACGGTCTTACTTTCATAAATATAAACATAATTATTGGTACAAAAAGGAACGTTTATATTTCTTCACCACAAAAACTACTGAATTTTTATGTGGGCCGAAATACTACCCGGACACCCAAAACAAGGGGCTTGATTTCCTTAGGTGGTCACTACCAGAGCTGCTGACTTAGAGGTTTAATCCACAAGACAGTGGGCATCGTCGGGAGGTGTAGTCCCATAGTAGCTGACAACTAGCCCTATTCTCATACACTTTTTTTTCCGTCAGGAACATTCAAAGAAAGAGCGAGCATCTGGAAGCATGTTTGTGTACGATACTTTCCAATTGTTAATTTTCGTTTCGGCACTGCCTTGAGTCAGCGCCTGGTATAATAGGTAGGGAAGTAGTTGGGTGCGTCAATGAATTCAATTATTTTTGGGTCTCATTATTGTTGATGGCGTAGTGTCTGGTGAGATCTCGGCATAGATTCAAGAAGCTCCATTGGCTTTTGCCGAATTACGTCACTTGTGGCGTAAAAGAGGTATCCGTCTGTCAACTAGAGAACAAGTTTACTGTGCGGTAGTTCATTCTGTTTCATGGCTGTAAAACAGCCATTAAGGATAGAGACTATTTCCAAGTCACTTATACTCAATCATTGGTGTCTTCAGAACACCGCTTATGAATTTTGGGACCACTAATTAGTATCGAGGTTGGGTGTAAGGTACTAATTATGTATGACAAATTGATTGGTGTTTTAGTGAATCTTCATCAGCTGAGGTTTTCGATACATATTTTTGCGTATGCTCAACCACCTTCTGCATTAACAAGCGACGTTTGGTGTAGGAGTGGGTTAGGAGAAAGCTGGGAGTGTTCAAGCCAGCGTGTGTGAAACTGAACTGTTACCACACTATCACTATGGGATTTGAATTGACAACTGCGTCTCTGTGCTAATGTGGTATGGCAACTTGAACTAATGTACGCACGGACGAAGCTCTGCGTTATAACTGACTGACTGATAGTAATAGGTGTAAATCAACGCACCTGACTGTGTTTTGCGTGATTACCGTATCCAGTAGTTAAAGTCCCACTGACGTAACCCAGCATCTTTTGTTGTGGCATAGGTTCATCCACTTTATCTTCCCTAAAACCTGAGTCATATACACGTCTCTTCCTTACTTTATTTTTCTATACCTAGTCTTTAATAACTAGTGCCTTGGTTTTTTAATCTTTAGAGAATTTTATCTTGCTCTGTTAATGTAGTATTGTCGATGAGATTTGTAGTTTGAATGACTTACTGTCAGCTACGTTTATCTACATATTTAATTGTGAATAACTTAACAACATATTACAAGTTCATATACTACCTCCAGTAATACGGTATAAGACCTACTAGTAACACCTAGATGTATTTAGATGCGATTAGGCGCAATGTGGTAGTTTGTTAATCTAATTACATAAAATTCACCTTTCTTCATAATCATTCATAATTTCTAGATTAGCTTTCGTTCTATCATGTATTACTTTTACCATATAGATTTATTACTGGTTGTATTATGTATAGCTTATAAGTCCCGTGAAGGTTACTACCAAATGTTTCAATCTTCTATTTATTTTTTAATCAGAATTCATGATTTCCAATCAGCACAATAATGCTGCTGTCTCGTACACATTCAATGCAGCGAATCGACAACAAAGACAAATACAAATTGTTGATGCTAATTCGTTGCAACCTTTATCAGAGTCACTTGTAAATGAAGAATTTAAACGTGACGACGTTCCAGTTCAAAATACTCAAGTGGTTTATGGAACTACTGCTGCTGGCTTTGCACCAGTGGTTGGGCAAAATGTTCAACTTGTTTCATCAATACCTAATACAATGGAATTATCAAATAATGCATATGATTCATCAATGGTTGTCCCTCAAGAGCCTTCACAAGCAGGCCTGGATATTGAACCTATTGATTTAGAAGAGGTTCAAAAAATTCAGGCTCGTATGCCAGCTGCTGATCCGAATGCTCCTGTGGGTTCAAATAAAAACCCCATTAGAATTATACAGCAAGGAAATCAGTACATAACCACACAAGATGTATCCGATGAACATTTACAACAAATCATTCAAGTTTTAACAAATCAAGCATTACTTTCAAGTAGCGGTTCTCGACCAAGTGCAATCTACAACCGTCTCACAAATCGTCGCATTATATTTCGTGTAACACGTGCAAAACGTCGTCATGACGATGGAAATACTGGAGCTACAAATCTAAGTGGCGAACGAAATAGATCCGGTATTACTGTCAAAAGTGAGAAAAAAAGTCGCGCTGGTCGACCTATTGGACGAAAACGTAGAAAACGTGGTTCTGATGAGGAAGATCCTGACTTTGAACCTGAGGTGCCCGAGGAAGAGGTTTTACCATTTCCATTAATTAGACGAACATCCGCTTCTGGTCGTGTATCGAAACCACCCAAACACTTGGTGAGAAAATCCTCTTAAAGTTCTTTTGTATACAAAACTCTACTTGTCGGTTTTGAATTTTTTTAAGTATTTTTAACTTGAATAGTGTCCAGGTACAGAATGTTCAAAACTCCAATTTCGCAATTGATCTCACCTATTTAGTTTGTACTCGAAAGTTTAAAAAGTCAAATTTCCAACTAATGTATTAGTACACAAACTCTTCTGTCCTTGCTTAGGCTTGAGTTACTGAATAGCGACATTAACACAGTACACTCAACATACTGCAATCGTACAAAAACTTACGTGCCCATTGAGCTGCATTCTACAGTCCATGTTTTATAGATAGGTTAAGTCAAGTCAATAACAACATAGAACTTTGTACGTACGTACATCAGATGAAGTTGCCATACCACATTAGCACAGAGATACAATTGCTACTTCAAATCCCATGGTAGTAGAGGTAGTAAATGTATTAGCAGTAATCGGAAATTTTAGGGTTGGACGATATTATTCGAAAAGTAGAACCTAGTAAAATAAACTTAAGAGAAAAATATAAAGGTAATGAGGAATTCAGAAGATTACGATTTGAGAGAACACATGGAATGAATGCACCTGCGCCATTACAAACGGTTTTGAGCTATATCATTCGGAGTCTCTAACCATCGATCGCAATCATCTCGCGGGCCCCAACCAGGTAGTCGACACCTACCAACATGACTCAATCCAGTTGTCAGTGACTTCATAGATTTGTGTCATGTTTTGGTTTGGCCGCCCCTAACTTTCTTCCAACCCATTCCTACATCGCGAAACATAGCTCGACGAGGCAGTTGGTGGTTAGGCATACGCAACACATGTCCCAACCACCTCAACTAATGAAGTTTCAACACTCATACCTATACCCATTACTTGGTTCCATTAAATACAATTAGTGCTTCCACAACGTTGGTCGACAAAGCCATTAATTCATGATAAACAACGGATCGTCTAACATTAAGGTTGAAGCGTGTTGATTATTTTTCATACTCAGTAACTAAATGTATCGCGACATTTTTCTGCAATATACCGCATAGGTTATTTATAGGTGTTTTGTGTGATTTCAGGTTAAGGATTACAAACATTTACGTCTAGAAGATTTGACATCTAAACCAGAGTCAAGTGAAGAAGATGAGCATTCCGATGGAGGTTATTCTGATTATATTAACGATGGACTTTCGGATGAAGGTTGGTCTGAAGATGGTACGAATAGAAGTAAGTTTATATACATTAGCAAGATGTGTATGTATGTATTAGCCAATACGTGTGTGCTAATTAGCCTATGATTTCTTACAGCTAATTAAATCATATTAAATTATTCATTTTTATTATACTATTCGTAATTTCAAAAAAACATTAACATTTTTGATGAGATACATATCGCTATGGTTTTTCTGTCTTTGAAATGATAAATGCTCTTAGTTTTAATATTACTTGCTTAGTGTTAAGTTGGAGTATTGTGAATTCTAAGAAATTACATGCTCATCAAAATTGCATGGATCTGTTTTGTATTAATTTTAGGTTTACGTTGGCCATGTCCATTGTGCACTAAAGTGTTCACTTCTCGTGCTGGAGTAGCACGACATCGAAGTATTGCTCATGGTCCGAATCGTGGTCGACCTCGAGGCCGTTGGGCTAATCCATATATGGCTAGTGTTCGACGTAGAGCCAAGTTGAAAGAGGTAATTTGTCATGTTAGTATGTTTTAGTTTTTATTTCATTTTTTTATTTTCCTATCGTACAAAAATTCCAAAGTTTTTCCTGTCATACTCTGTCCGTTCCTGAAGCACATATATCATTCAGTCAACTATTTTTCTTTGTAAGTACATCATCTGATTCTTATATTTCTGATATTTAGAATGAGGCATATACTTTTATTCTTTTTTTTTAAAAAAAGATGTAGTTCACAGTAGTTTTTGAAGCTACGATATATTGTTTTCCACTCCAAGTAAGATTTCATGACATGAACACATGTTTTATAGCATACGTACGTGAACTTCACAAAACCACAATTAATTTGAGTGTTAAATTCAATGTTTCATTGTATTTTCTGCATGTATCATCATTATTTGGATTCTCTCATCCATTATTTATTTTTTTCGTTGTACGGCAACATAACTGTTATACCAAAGGTCCTGGGTTCGAATCCTGCGGGCTGCAGGAGTCGTGGATACGCACTGCTGAGGAGTCTCATACCAGGACGAAACGGCCGTCCAGTGCTTCCAGATTTCTAATGGTGGTCTAACATTGATCGATTCATGGTTTCAAAAATGTATAATTGTTATAATCATCAGTGCTTAATATTATGATTCTTTACCTTGTCTTCTTCTCTTCTTAAGGCTGTTGCTGAAGCTACAGATGAGGATTTGATTGAATTTGTTGCACCACGTTTATGCAAATTAATTAGTCCATGGGATCATCTTCTTCTACGTTCGGAGCATGGTAATCCTCCTCTGCCTCAAGTTCCTCGTGTTGTTTTGGATTACTTGAGTTTGGTTGAACGTGCTCGTTCATTCCTTTGTGATCAGTTAGAACCACGAATAACAAAAAAATCAAAGGAACCACAAAATTCAGAAAATCGTAAAGGTGACAAATACTGTTTTATCTTTCTTTTTTTTTACAAAAAAGCTCTCATTATTCAATTATGAGTATAATTTGAAGAAGAGAATGGATAAGACCTATTGAAAGTTTGTGATACTGGTTACGCATAAACGTAAACATGTCATTTTGATATGCTCGAATTGTTACGAGTTTACCTTAGTTTGAAAACGAGAGCGAGGATTTAGGATCCGGCGACACGATATGCCACTCTAGTCCGAGTGTCCCAACCCCCATTGAATAAAAGAAGAAGACTTGATATGAAGTAGAACCTTTATTCTACAAACATCTAGAAAGTACGAGGTCCGAGTCCAGAAGAGAATCAGGATCCCGGACTAGGGATCCGGGTCATAAAATGTTACAGATAATGTGTATTCATACAATTAGGTCGAATAGGAAACACTATCGAAGTCTGTGACATTGACAGTTAAGACGACCAATAGGAAAAACAACACTAAAGTACATGACATGGATATCTAGGACGACCATAAAATTGACCAGTAGGAATTAACCAATCGGAATTGATCAGTAGTTCTCTTAGGATATTGGATAAATATCCGTAGCTTTGTTTCTTGATTCAATAGTTTACCAGATGATTAAGTCGTTGATTATAAAATCTTAAACTCTAGTATACCAAGGGCCTTGAATTTTTTTTTACTGTAGTTAATTATAATGCAAGTATTTTTATGATGTTTCTGTCAACATTGATCATTCATCACTATATTTTCATGCCTTTCAAAAATTATTTTCCTTAAAGTACACAGAAATGTAGCACACATTCGTTCTTTCTTGATCATGTAATTGTCCTCAATAGGTGTTTAATAGTTTCAGAGTTAAGTTAAATGAAAACTCACTTCTGATCAATGATTTGCTTCAGTAGTAAATATCTTTATACTGTTTTTTGAACATTAAAATCATCAATCAATCATTGTTAGACCACCATTAGAAACCTGGTAGCACTGGACGGCCGTTTCGTCCTGGTATGGGACTCGTCAGCAGTGCACATCCACAACTGCTGCTACTCGCAGTATTCGAACCTAGGACCTTTGGTCTTACGCGTGAACGCCTAACCTATGGACCACTGAGCCGGCATCCAACGGTGTTAATGTTTAACTGTTGAAATTTCAAAGAAACAGACTGAATTATTCTGATCCGTCGGTTACACAAGAATGTGTTTTGCTGAAACTACATATCAATTGTTAAATCTAAACACATTGAAATCGACATTTATTTTTCTTTTCAGATGGTGAAGATGACAAAGTTGAATCAAATGGCTCTGCAAAAAATAAAGAAAATGATTCTGGTGTACAATCAAATGGAGTTCAAGATGGTGACAATGAGGAAGATGCCGAGGAGGAGGAGGAAGAAGAAGACGAAGATGATGATGGTGTAATAATAGTTAAGGTTAGTTGCTTCTCTCTGAAACATCTTAAACTTCTTCCATATTATACCCAAGACCTTGTATTATATATAACCTTATTTAGTGAGTAAATGTCCCGTCGCAAGTCATTTCAAGATTAAATTAAACAAATTTAGTATTTCTCTTGTTTAAGTAATTTATAAACAAACTAATTTTTTTTAGTTTACTCAAGGAATTTACTTTACCTAAACAGCTATTGAAAAATCATAAACAATGAACAACTTTTTTCTCCTAGTGAACAACTCTTGAATAGTGTTCATTCATGAATCCACTAGGGAACGTATCTTCGTACTTTCAAATTTCTCAGCAAGCGCTTAAATTTTAAACCCACTAAGTTAGTATTCAACGACCTACACTTTCAACATTCAGTTCGTAATATTCCATGACTATCATCTGTTGTCATTGATCATACGTATTCCACTGAACTCCAATCTTGACCCAACGCATTTCTACACCATACTCTTAGTTGATGATAATTGACCGAACCACAATAACCATGACACCTCAATAGAAATTGGGAAATTTCTCACTTGATAGAATTCATTTCCATTATGGATAACGATAGGAAGTTATGTATTTATAAGGGCAAATGTTTATCAATAGTTTTAAACTTAACTCTGCGCACACATCAATCGTTTCATACATAATCAAACTTAAAACTTTTATGTTACGAAATAATCATCACATCGCTGAGTTTTCAATTGATAATTCGCCCTTTTTTTTCGAAATTTGCAGTTAATTCACCGTGTAATTATCATCAGTGAGCGTCCATTTCACTCGTAACTTTCTTTGCGTTTTTTTTTAAAATCATCGCTTCCTACTTGAAATAAGAAAAAATTTATCACAAGACAAATCATTGTCTACCTATTGTTTCATTAAATCATTGATTGAAAATTGTCTCACTTTTAGTTAGTTTGCACTACAACTTGACATTGAGAAGTAATCAATCTATCTGGGATCCAGCTAATCTTCCCTACAGTTTTTATCTTGGTGTAGGAGAGATATTCTTGTTTGCCTGTTGTTTTGTATATTAGTTAGTGAATAATTCAACTTGTGCTAGTAAAAATCACTGCAAGCTTTCCGGTCCCGTAGTTGGTTAGTCAGTTGCAACGTAGAACTTCGTACGTACGTACATCAGTTCAGGTTGCCATACTACATTAACACACAGAGACGCAATTGTCATTTCAAATCCCTTAGTAGTAGAGCTAATAAAAGTATTAGTAGTAATAAAGGAGATTATGGTTCAAAGAAATCACTCTAGAAGTATAATTCAGTAAAATAAATTTAGAAAGAAAAAGATGGAGATGGTGAGGAATTCAGAAGATCACCATTCGAGGGGAACACAAAGAGTGGATGCCCCTGTGCCATTGCAGACGAATTTGAGCCATATCGTCCAAGGTCTCTAACCATCGGTTAGTATTTTCTTGTGGACCCCAACCACGTAGTCTACACCTACTAACACGGCTTAGTCCATTTGTCAGTGACTTCATGGATTTCTGCTATGTTTTGGTTTTTCGGCCCTTAACTTTCTTCTAGCCTACCTCTACACCGTAGTCGAGTTATCATCAATACGCAATTCTCATCCTCATTTTTATCATTTGATGCTTTTTTGTGATTTTTATTTTATAAACTCATCATCTGGTTTTAATATTTATTCGAAAAATATTTCCGATCTTTTAACTGCTATCCATTTTAATCATAGCAGCTGTAATCTACAAAACCAGTTTTGTCATTAATGTTTTGTAAAATATTGAATATAGGATACTATGGATTATTAAATGTTGTGTTCAGGTTTCTTAATAGAAAATGACAACATTTTTTTGAATCAGTTTTCTTTTCTCTCAACTAGTAATCACAAATTTCTAGGTAAACATTGTTAGCAGGACATAGATGCGATTAAAGCATGATTGCGTGATAGCTGCACGCTGATTGGCTCTTTCGCATCCAATCAGCGCTAGTCGATACTTCAAGAACATGCTAGAAGTTTCTCACGTAAAAACTATAAGAATACTAACGTTGTTCCTATTTCGCCTTCACTTCGGCTTCTTACTTCCATTTAACCTTGCTTTTTGGAATATAATCTCTTCCCCGTTCAACCGTGTTCTAATTTGGGGACTTGTCGAGTGGATTGATGTCCGAGAATACTAAGCAATAGGAACAGCGGGGTTCTACTAAGAAAGAATTATAACAAATATATTTCAGTTAATTATATTGTGACTTTTTTTGTACGTTTTGATTGTTCATTTTATTTGCTAGCATTTCTGTAAGTCATCTAACATCCAAATTATATGAAATTATTTTAGTCATCTCTCTTAGCTTTCTTCTTCAGTTTAAAAAAAAAACTGAACTGTAATCTGTTAGTCATACTTTATAATATTTCTGAAAATTTGTCTTTTCCTTAAGATTTTTCTTAGAACCTTACTAACTTATTTACTTGTAACATATTTCAATACTTTATTAATTGTATGTAGGTAGATACAGAGGAACAATCTGGTGCTTTAGGTTTACCTTGTGGTAAATATATCGTGAAAGAGCCATTACGTGAAGAATATCTTCCTAGACGTTTTCGATCAATATTGGCAGCTCAAAGGGCAAGTGCAGCAGCAGCAGCAGCCGCTGCATCTGATTCTGACAAAGGCAGTGTCGGACATCAGAAACGTGCCGTGGTTGCTATGGAAACAGCCGAGGATGATGAAGTGGACGCAACTTTACGTAGCGATATTGCTTCTACAGAAGATTCTGTTCAACACTTTGGTGATGCAATTGTTTCAAATCAAACAGCTGATAACAATTCTCAAAATACTGTGTCTTTGGGTGAAGAGTTAGTAAGTAGCATTGATAGCAATTTTACTCTTTATTATTTTAGTGTACTTTCCGTATATGCACATTACAGATTTGAGCTGCTTTTCAATGAAGCAGGTTTGTTCAGATAGATTATACCATTAGACTGCATGAAAACTATTTTATCTAAACAAATCTGTACGCAATCTCAAAGTTACGTTTGTATATAATTATGGCTTAATGCTTTTTGAGTTATATAAGCATAGCTTGATGGGTCAACTTATCTGAATAGTAGTATCACTAACAACTATATAAAAATTGTGACTCGTTGTTTGGATATGAACACATACTTCGTCAGTCACTAAGTTATATATATGGTTTTGTTCAATAACCTGTTAGCTTTATATTTTAAGTTGAAAATAATGGTTATCTCCAATATATATATAGAGGATTTTATATTTGAAGTGTTTCATTCTGCATTTGTTGTAAGATACAAACAACGTCCAGCTTCAGGGAAAAACTTTTTATTATATAATGGATTTAGCTAGTTGATATTTAACATTTGTACTCATTTATTTTCTTAATTAAGCATTTACTCTTTACACACACTCAGATTAACTTTATGTACCGTTTTACTAGCGTATGTATCCAAATTATGTGATCTGTTCAGCGTCTTCATGAAGCTCAATCAAATCCTATTTTATAACATTAGGAACTGTGTTCTGAGGGGAGCTGGAGTGTACAATGAACTGTATATATGAGATGTAGCTTTATTTTAATTCAAGTTAAGACTTGATTTCAAATTAGCAAGTTAGTATTAAAAGCACTTGAATTACGGTACACTAAGGTACTGAAAATGCACCGCGAATATGAAGTTATAATGTTTGGATAAATTAAAAGCGAGAGCAATAAGTTATATAAAGAACAATTGCTCTATAGATCTTTCTATGTAAATCTTCTAGTGACAATTAAAATACCCTAGAGCTAAAATGGCTTTGTGGCTTGTTTAAACCAATAAAACTTACAACAGTGTTGTTAAGTGTCTCGGAAAACAGTGCCTGTCTCATAATGAATCGATATATAATTACTTTAAATCGCCTATTATTCATTGGATGATTGGTTCTATCTCCTTTTCCTTTCCTCATTAGCTTCTCCTTCCGGAGGGAGGTTTAGGTTGTCCAGTACCTGATGAATGGCTTACTAGTGGCGCTTTCCTTACAGTCCTGACAGAAAATGGTCAAACTAGTGATTTGGTTATGGAGGCCGCCACTGGTCGTCTATTCCATCGTCCCACAGGTCATCTTGTCAGTCTAGCTGATTCTCAACAAGCGAATCAATCAGAAGTCGATGATTACCAAGGTGAAAGTTATGAATATGAATCAAACAATGTCGAACAAAAAACTAAGGCAGCAGCTCCTAAACAACCAATTTCCGATAAACGTAAAGGTACTACAACTAAGTCAAAAACACCATCAAAATCTCGAGCTAACGAAGAACGTGATATTAACAATGACGATGTCTTATCACAGCAAGAACAAATACTTGCTCAACTGGCTGAAAATGGTGATGTGGTTGATTTGAACACACTATTTCCTGGTGTATCTGTTACAGAAGTATCACCTGGTGTATGTTTGGTTACTAAACCAAATGGAGATCGATTTAATGTAAGTTATTTTCAACAGTAATTATTGAAGTTTTAAAGCTGTTACAGAAAATACTTTGCACATTTTTCAATATTTGAATCTTGCCTTTCACCTCAATATCCCTTACATATTTTAAATTTGTTTCAGTTGTGAAGGTACTGACATTTTATTATATGTCATAAGTAGATTGATATCAATCGTTACTTTACTCAATATCACATACATATGGAGCCAACAAATACACTAAGTGGGACATTAAGACCAACTAGTAATTACTCTATAAGTCATTTAATAAAAACAAAGAATTGTAATGAAATAAATAAAGACCACCGACTGCCTCGTCGAGCTTTGTTTTGTAGTGTAGGAGTAGGTTGGAAGAAAGTTAGGGGCGACCAAACCAAAACATGGCAGAAATCCATGAAGTCATTGACTAGTGGACTGAGCCATGTCGGTAATTGTCGACTACCTGGTTGGGGTCCGCGAGATGATAATAATCGATGGTTATAGACTTTGAATGACATGGCTCAAAATCGTTTGCAATGGCGCCGGTGGATATATTCTTTGTGTTCTCTCAAATCCTAATCTTCTGGATTCTTCAACACCTCTAGTTTTGACTTTCTAAACTTTTCTCATTAAATCATACTTCTTGAATAATATCTTCTAATTCTAACCTCTCCGATTACTCCTAATACCTTTACTACCTCTACTACTATTGGATTTGAATTGACAATTACATCTGTGTGCTGATGTGATATGGCGACATGAACTGATGTACTTACGTACGAAGTTCTACGTTGCATCTGATTGACTGAAATTTGTATTAATAAAAGTAGCCAAACAACGAATTAAAGTCGAGTAGTTAAACATTGTTTGCATATGAATCAGTTGGTTAATAAATGTCCATTATTCAGGCGTATCAGTCGAAAAAGTGTAAGGCTAATTCTTTCACTCCTTGTGACTAAAAGTTACATTGAATAATGGCATTTTGAATATCTTTCAGTAATCGATCTTACCGCTTAAAATACACATCGTTACACTTGTCTCCAGTTACTTACTGTGTCTAATATCACTTCTGTATGATCAGTTGTGTAAATAAGTATGTGATGTTGATCAAACTTAGCTGAATTTCGGTCAGTGTATTTTAGTTAGTATACTTGTGGTGCGAGCTACTTATAAGTAGTATATGACGTGAGTGTCAACGTAATGTCTGGCAGCTGAAGATGGGGGAAGATCAAGAAAGGAAGAGTGGGAACACAATGGAATTTGTATGAAACGCATGAATAGTGACAATGGATTGATGTTTTGCAATAGGAACAGTCCAGTTCTATATGATGAACTGATATTTTGCAAATGAACGATTTACGATATGGTTTTCCTATTTTACTGAGTAACTACTCTGTAATTTTTGTTAAATACAATTCGGTTGCCCCACCTGTGTTCTCGTTCACTACACACTTGTCCTTTTATTTCTGTTGACCATACCATATTGCATAAAAAGTATGTTATATGTATGTATGTATGTATGTATATTATTGTTTCATTTTAATCCTGTTTTAGGTTGAACATGGTGGTGAAGGCATAACACTGGAAACACTACAAGCTATTTTGCAGATGGATGCATAATTGGATTGTTTTTTTTCCTTTTCTTTCTGCAAACATTTGATAACTTTTTATCTCTTGTAAATAGACAACTAGTCTGTTTTATGATTCACTAAAATCTTATACTCTCTCATCAACTTCATTGTGTTTAATCCTATTTGTTTTTCATGACTATTTATTATTATTATTATTATGTATCCTTAGATTCATGTGTATTTTTTAAAAAAAAAAACAATATCCCCACTTTCCACATGTACAAAAGATCACACTTACTTCCTATTGTGTGTGTTTGTAAGGTAATCTGCTCTTTATTCTAAACATTATATTTTGAATTCATTTATATATATATGTGTATTTGTATCATTCACTGTACCATTGCCAATAAACTATGTTAGTTACTAATATTAGTTACCTTCTTATCCAAGGTTGCATCGGCACCTGAACTAGTGATAGGGACTGAAGTAGTCGAGCGTGTAGACCGCTTCACTTATCTTGGGAGCCTCATCAGTGCCGATGGCCTGGTGACTGACGAAATCTCAGCTCGGATACAGAAGGCTCGATTGGCTTTTGCCAACCTGCGTCACTTATGGCGTAGGCGTGATATCCGTTCTCTAATCAAAGGACGAGTGTACTGTGCAGCAGTTCGTTCCGTTCTCCTATATGGCTGTGAAACCTGGCCAGTGAGACCAGAAGATATTCGTAGGTTACTGGTTTTCGATCATACACTTCGTACAAGACCACAACGTATTATTAATCATTTATTTCAATCCGTATGAATTTGTAGAGAAATTTGAATTAGGAGTGTTAAGGCATATACTAGCAGTTGGTGAAGGAGCGGGGTCGTAACGATAAACGTCCTTTAGAGATTTGCGTTTAGTCACTTGCACAATCCTAGCATCACTCATTTGTTTATTTAGTTGAAACTGATTTGTGGTCATAGGCAGCTTATATTATATACTCTAATTCCTACTGGGTTCATTGATTGCTATATAAACAATAATAATTACTTCGTTACTTATATGTAATCATAGTTATCAGTCATATTGGTGACTCTAGAAACTTGAATGTGATTTCTTTGATATAAAGGTGTTTTTATTCTCATCAGAGTGAAAAAATTTTAGTATGAATACGTATTTAGTGTTAAAATATTATCTGAGTCTCGCACCATTAAATACAGTAGACTCAAGTTGTGTCCGTGATCTGATTACTTATCGCTATGGTGTTATCAAAGTCCCATTATTCATCTCAATACTTCTAAATTCGACATTTGAGTTGGAACCTAACTAGGTAGCAGATGTCGGTTACCGTAATATGGTCTGGTTTCTTTTGAAGGGACTCTGGATCTGCTGCTGAATATTCAGACAAACAACAACACTAGGTCGATGTAAGTTTCATGTGAACAAGTTAAAAGTCCGACCATAAGATTGTTTAGATCTTTATAGAAATAATTTTAGGTGTTTATGGCAGCCAAAGCAGGATTCATTATGTATATATGACCGACAGTCATGTTTATATTCCGGACTGCATGTTTCGACTATACTAATTAAGCAATTCGAGGAATTTTTTTCACCCTAACCAAAAGTTGTGCAAATATCATTAGCTAAAGTATTACGGAGTGGCGGATTGATTCATGTCAATGGTGCGAAAAGAAAGCACGAAGTGTTCTGAAATGGGAAGAGCTACTCTCCAATGAAAATCGAAAAAGAGCTGAGATACTCATGAAGATGCCAGTATTATAATACCATTCTCGATTTTTTATAAAGCAGACAAGGCAATTTGACCCCATCGATACCGAAAATGAAAGTGTATAATAACGTGACAAGCAATGTATGCATATTACTATTGATTGATATAAATTGAAGACATTGACGTCAATGTGGTTTTTGCACAAGATAAAAGATTTATTCTTCCTTAATTTTTCTTATATGACATGAAAATGGAAGGGAATATTCCATTGTTCCGTCCAACATCATTTGGCGGTGTAAAATATAGAGATTGAAAATTCATCAACAGATATGGATAGTGACTAGGAGTGTCAAGTCTATGAAACTGATCAAAGTCAGTCCTAAGTCTCAATGGGATAATTCAAACTAGCAATACAAATGAATCAAAATTTACCAGGGCCTTTAGGTTTTCAGTAGTGGTCGAGCAATGATCAATTCATTATTTCAACTAAGTTATTTGCATAACTATGGTTTGTAAAATATCTCTATTTAACTTTAATAAACAGTCAATTTAAAGAAAATCTTTTCATATTTGGAAACGTTATCACATAGTAGATACGGAGAAAATGATATGTTTGCTGTATTGTAGGTCCTGCCTAGATAACAGTATTCGATGCACAACTGAGATACTTTTTAAAGCATACATATCTATGAAATGTTCAGAAAAATAGATGGTTTTTTTTATTCGTACATGTAATAAAATTAATCATCGTCAACTGTTAATCTTTTCAAACTGTTTAGTGTATATTTGGTAGCTAACATCATCGTTATGTAGTGACGTAACTGCTGAAAGCGGAAAATATAATTTTTCTAGATACTGGTTACAATGTACCAATCCAATCACAAAGATGTGTTGATCGAGTAATTATATGATCATTTTTGATTTACAAACACACAAAAAGCGTAACTCAAGTGTGTCGTATAATTGAAACAGGATGAACATACACTCTTGAAAGTTAAAAAAAGTTACACACTTATGGCAGTTGAGAAGACTGAGGCAGGCGCGAAAGATTGTATTAAGCAAACTTACACTCTTAGTCAATTAAAAAACGAAAACATTACATTGAACACTCTATTTGCACACCATCTTTGAGTCCTGACTTCCAACGCTCCATCCTTCTTCCATTCCTGCTGTTGCTTCCTTTACTTCATGTTGGTACTCCATTTATTTCTTGCTTTTGCCCCATTTGCTTTCCGTTTTCCTCTTCTGACCGTGAGACTTCTTCTTTCACGTCCCTTATTATACTACTTATATCGTTCGTATAAGTAGCACACACCACAAGTTATTTACCGTTTTCAGATCATAAAGTTTGCAATAATGTTTATAACAAAAATTTAATTTCCTGAAACTTTTTATTATTTTAGATAACTTGTTTCACTGTTGTACAAAAATTCGTAATCCTCATTTATATACCGATAATAATAAACCGTATACTTCTCCAATTCCGCATATTTTTGACTGAACGTTTGGAGAAAACTAGCTTTATGGTACAAATCTGGTTTTGAAGCGAAGAGATCTGGAGGTTCAGAAGAAGCAGTTAGGGTTGATTTGAGCAATAATGAATAATTAATTTGACTGAAATTAAGCGGATGTATATCACATGTCATGTGAATTTGATGCGTAAAAGTTGTTTTTTTCTCATCAATAAAATCTTAAAAAAATGGATTAAAAGCAAACTCTTAAATATTATTCGCCATTAAGACTGTGGAAGTTCATTATCTGTCAAATCGTATTACCAGCTGCTGAACATCATATTACTTACTTACTCAAGCCTCTTACCTCTAAAGCAGCCAGCATAGTCCACTGACCAGCATTCTCCAGCCTTCTATGTCCCGGACCTTTCTTTATGGTTCTATCCAACTGTTGTTCATTCTTCTTGTGTCTGTCTCTAATTCTCAGCGTAATGTGTTCTTGGTCTCCCTCTTTTCCTTTCGCCTTAAGGATCCAAGTGAGGGCCTTTCATGTGAATCAGTTAGGTGCTTGCTTTCCTTAAGATTTGTCCTACCAGCGCTATTTCCTTTATTTCTTCTTTTACTGGAATCTGGTTTGTTCTCTCCCAGAGTAGGTCATTGCCAAATGATGCATGGCCAGGCGCGAGTTGGTAAATCACATGCCTAAAGTTTGATTTTGCTTTGTTGGAATGAAGAAAATGGCTGCTGTGGTTCTTCAGTGGGTTTCATGTTTCTTAAGCCGTCTTAAAAAGTCTGAAAGATATATATATATGGTTCGGTTATTTCTCTTATTCATGACAGATGATCTCTCGATGTAGGCAATATGAAGTTGAATCTACTATGAATATCGGTAGCCTATATAGACCTATGGATGAATGGTAAGACTAGATTAATGGTATCAGAAATATAAGGTTTCCAAGTGATAAGGTGTGTCATTGTTTTTCTATATTTCTTGCGACAACGCATTCCAGATGGCTTCATATTATATATAAAGTATTTTTACCGATATGTCTTAAGTATAGATAGACCTACTAACTATAAATAAGATGTATATTTAAAAAACGGCAGTGTAAAACTTATTAATATTGATACCCTAGAACACGACAGGAATATTTGTAATGGGCTATAGATTTCCTAAGGTGCGGTCTTTTTTACATGTCTTTGCCTCCTTTTAGTTGTTGTGCCTAGATGTTATGCACAGAAGCTGAAAAGCAGACTATTTCAATGGAAAAGGAATAGAGGCTCATACACTGGGGGACTTTCCAATAAGTAATTATATATATGATAAGTGGGTAACTTAATACGCATTTGATAAATTAACCCGTACTGACAACGAGTATTTTCTGCAGTTTAATCGACTTCGTACAGAAAATGATGTGATATATTATTAAATACGTCAGTATTGTTTAACTGTTAGAATTCGCATAAATAAAAAAGCGCTTCTAATAGCAAGTCAGTGTCAGCTACAACGAGGAACGTGGTAAGTACATACACCCTTGGACCATACCTAAAGGATATGTATCTTGCGCAAAGAAATCATTTGGTTTATACTAGATATTAGATATTGGATGTTGGAGCCCAAGTTGTCGTACCACCACATTGTGCAAAAGACAAACAGCTTAATTATTACTAGGTGGGAACCGACTAACTCTGAAACGACAAATGTAGCAGTTTATAACATGCTTGCTATCAATCAAAGGATTAGGAAGTGGGCTCGCCGTTCTATACTTAAAAGTCATTAACATTCAACCTGCTGATATAAAAGTAGGGGAATCATATTTTATTTATTTAATGTCATTGTCATATGTATCGCAAATCTTAGAGTTTTAGTATTACGTGGTTTGACTGCAGTTAGCACGAGTGATCGAGTATGCGACGAAATAAATCTTCTTTTTTATTTCTGCATATCATACCTAGGCAAATCACGTTTATTCGATGGCGGTAATGAGAAGTCCAATATGGTTTTGTAGATGAATTTGTCTAATGAGTTGATCCAAGCAGACAAACACGAGAATGAAGAGCTTACAATCAAAGCGAAGCACAGTGAGGATGGCAAGTGAGGCGAATTTTTCCAATGAAGCATGACTGTGTGTTTGCAGTCAGGAAATAGTTAGCTAGACCTAATAATATAAACGAGTAAGAATGCACACACACAGTCAGATATACAATAGTCCATAATGTTATCAAATTATTTAAACAACTAATCATTAAGGCTAACGTATGCGAGGTGCTATAATAGCTCCCCTCAAGCAAGCAGCGAAAATAGTCTTCGTACAGTACCGGTCAAGCGTAATACTACACTTGTTAGGGCAGCATCCAATGACTGAGCTTTTGATAGAAATGTAGTTTTTTCGTTGGTTTTACCTTGAAATCATTGTTAGACCACCATCAAAAACTGGGGAGCACTGGACAGCTGTTTCGTCCTGGTATGGAACACATCAGCAGCATGCGTCCACGAACCCTGCTACCCTCAAGACTCGGACCCAGGACGTTCGGCCCTGCGCCTGAACGCTTAAACTTCGAACCACTAATGGTAATCTGAAAATGACTGATTCATGATTTTTGGGTAAAACTACTATTTCCGTATACTATAACGTAAAATCAAAAGTGTGCTAACTCGAAATTCTGTTAGTTCTGGTGAGAAGATGTGACTATTGGATTTCTACCCTGTTGAATATAGGCAACAACTATCGAAAGCGGATTCTTGAGACTGATCAGAGTTTGATACCGTTGTATGCCGGTTAAGTGGTCCAAAGGTTAGGCGTTCGCGCACAAGACTTAAGATCCTTGGTTCAAATCCTGAGAGTAGCAGGAGTCGTGACTGTGCACTGCTGATGAGTCTCATAGCAGGACAAAACCACCGTCCAGTGCTTTCAGGTTTCTGATGGTGATCCAACAATAATCTATTCATGACTTCAAGGGAAACTAGGATTTCCATAGTACTTTTGAGAAAAATTTACTGGTTCCTCTTCTTCGTGATTGACATTCATGTCAGTAGTATAATACTACTGGTCATCATCACCTATCTCTCTCTCAATGTGTGTGTGAGCTTATTTGAATGGAATAATCAATGTGTGATACTTGTAATGTATTAATATTAGTTTTAGAGAATATAATTTCTTCTCAATCAATAAAATGGAGGAGGAGGAGGAGGATTATTATTGATTATTATTATTTTTAAAAATCAAAACTACTTGCTTTTATTATTAGCAATATATGTGTATAATGTATACATGTTTAGTATATGATTTGCGTAATTTATTTTGGTACAATATTATGAACAAATAGAAATAAACATGGCTATCATAAATATATATATAACACTGTCCAGTAAAATGTTGGATAGGGAATTTCAGAGCATTCTCCTTTTGACAAATGTTTCAGGAAGCAGTTTCGCAATTTTGATTCTTGTTCTTTAGACGAAGTTTAGTAAAGCTGGATAGCTGTTTTGTAGCAAAATGACTTGACTTTGCTATTAGTACAGCTACCTAATTCTACTTGATCAACGGTTCATGTCACATTTTTTCTAAATACAGTCAAATTTTTTCTTCATTTTGGCTACCATAGTTCCTAATAATTAATCTGATGATCTTACCTGACATCGACTATTCATTTAGAAATAAGAATATAGGAATTTATGTCTTCTGCTAATGAATTTATCATATAATATCCTAAATTGTTTGATTTGTCCAGAGTAAGGGAAATGTTGACGGTCTCATGAAAGATGGTACAAAATGTTTTCTTCTTACCAGAAGACGATTCAGAAACGAATCTTTAAGATCATACACTACGTTCAAATGGCTTTACATTGAAATGTAACATTTATTGCCCAGCAGTATTTGTTCAGTTCAAATATGATGAAGATTAATCTTTTTACATATTATGTACATTTAAATGTATGGCTGCACTCTCGTAAAATAGACTGTAAGAAATATGGATTAAAGATACATATGGTGTATTGATCAAAGTACATAAGTGAAAACTACTGCTTGGATATGTACATGTGGCACACATTAATAGATATTCACATGTTCAGAACAGCCTATCGAATCAGAAACATCCCTGTACAAAAATGTTTGGCAATCAAACCCTACCAATAAAAATTAATTTCAAATTTCTACCCACCAACTCCACTTGGAGCCCCATTGCCGCTACTACCGGTTCCAAACCCGGATAAATGAGAAGGGTTGGACTTGGAGTTAGCGACTCCATCTTGTAGAAGACCAACTCGCTAAAAAAACGCTAACCAGAAAAAATAATATATATTCTTAGCTATTAAAACCAGAAACGGCTTATCTTTTAATTTATCAGAATTTGTTTCAATGAACTTCCTTCAATATTTCAAGACCAGTTTCTTACCTACATATCAATATGCTCCATAGGTTTAGTTTGTACCGATCAAATTCGGCAAGACTTCTTACTCACATATAGAGTTTACGATTATGATATCTCGGGGATTGGTTAGTTAGATCAACCTACGATTTCCTTGATTTCAGTTTGTCGAATTCACAATTATTCAACCAAACGACAATAAAATAACCAATTTCTGCATCGAGATGTTAACAACCATGAAAACCTGACCAGAACACCTCCTTTGGATGTGTTGAAACCTGAAAATCTTGTGTAGAGACGGTCACACATCTATTTCCAATAAATCGTCAATAAGCCGGTACCAAGCCACATAAACGTTCATTCATTTTTTTCGTTACATAAATAAAGATAGATTAATACATATATCGAAGACCCTACTTTAAATTGGTAGTCATTTGGTTGTTATAGGTTATCTCTGGTTTTTGCATGACATGGTGTTGGGTCGGCCGTTAGTAGGGTGTATTATTGTCAATCAGTGGAACTGATGGACTCATTCCGTGTATAACAACCGACCAACCTCAAGCCTGATAATGTGATAACTGCTAAAATGCATAAATCCTACTTTTATGAGACAAACTCAAATCACAAGAAATATAGACTCAAAAGTGACTGTCAACTGAGTAGAATTAGGGAATATCCCTATTAGTCCTGACTTAGTACTAAGGAAACTAACATCCTTACGCCCAAGTAAGTCACCAGGTTGTGACAATATTCGCCCCATAGTCTTAAAACAATGTACGGAAGCCCTCTGTTCACCGATATGTGACCTGTTCAGGCATTCCCTGGACTCACACCAACTACCAGCTGAATGGAAACAAGCTACTCTCTCTCCAATCTTCAAAGGAGGCGACAGAAAGGACCTAGCCTGTTACAGACCATTCGCATTACTACCAATATTATCAAAGGTAATGGAAGGGCTAGTGGACGAGCAAATGAGGGAGTACATGGATAAGAAGAAAATACTCTACGAAGCTCAACACGGGTTTCGAAAAGGCAGGTTGTGCGCATCTAATCCTTCCATAGCATAGGACAGCTAGGACATCCTGCTGGGACCGAAAAATACCTTTGCATATAATATTTCTAGACTTTGATACAGCATTTGACACAGTAGCCCGCGCTCATCTAATCGCGAAGGTTGTGGAAATGAGAGCACGCGAGTTAGCGACTATCCACATCAAGTGTTTCACAGGGGACCATCTTGGGTCCACTTCTGTTACTGATATTGAATAACGACTTGTTAGACAATGTAAGCTCAGCGACATTGATCAACGCAGACGATACAAAGATTTAGAGGTCCACGAGAAGAGAAGAGGATTCTACTAAATTTCAAAACGACCTTACGTCCTTTGAGATGGGCCTTGATAAACGGTTCAGAACGAAACCAACGGAAATGTTACGTCATGTACATTCTGCCCCACGTGACGCCAAGCACTTGCACTCTCAACTCACATTCGTTTCCTAGTGTCTCCACAGATCGCGACCTCGGTTCAGTAACCACAGAAAGCCTTCATACCAGCTCAAACTATATAGCGCACGCAGCCAACGCAAACCCAACTCTTTACTTTATGGAAAGACAACTTGGTGCTATCACCCCTGAACAATGTTTAAGAAATATGTGCGCCCGCACCTTGAGGTTCACAACGTTGTCGCTCCCCTGTCCTTAAAATCTAAAAAAATTTATAAAAATAAAGAAATATATTGGATCGATTGCAGAGACGATCAACGAATTAAGTGACAGGGTTGAAGGATAAAACTTACGAGGACAAACTACAGCACGCTTTTTTCCTCATTACGAGTCGTTGCAGCTTGGAGTGAGCTCCCAGCTGAGGTGATCACGGCCCTCTCAGTGGATGGGTTTAAGAAGAAACCTGATAAACACGTACTCAAATACGGATTATCGTCCACCTCGTGGACAGGCTATGCCTGATGCATGTCTTGGGACCTACTAGTGGTTATTATTGGCATCTTCTCAGATTACTAACTTGATGCATCTCGCCTGTCATCTCTGTTTCCTCTCCCTTGCTTACAATTCGGTTCTCTTGTACAATCTTGACTAGCAATTAATAAACTAAGTTATCTACATATAACTCAGTTCTGAAACCCTCTTCTTATCAACCTTAGAATTTTCGCCTTGTTATTCTCCATACTGCAACTAACTGATCTCCGGTCTTGTTATGTGTTTAGTAGCTGGTTACCAAACTCCCTACTGCCCTGAAACAAACAAATTAATTTAAATTACATGACTTATAAACTGACAAGCACTAGCCAACGGGCTGGAATCAGTACATGCAAGTGGCTAGTCCTCGCCCATTGGGCACTGTCAAACACCTGGAACCGCACCGAAAGAACAAGAATCGAGAGCAAAGAAATCAAATAGGTTTACACTAGCTCGTGAAAAAGATATTGGATATTGGAACGGCTAGGTGACACTATCATTTACCTAGGACTGTGCAGGAAAAACAGAAAGCGGTCACAAAAGCAATAACTGGTTCATTTTAGCTAGCCACTCAGATTTATATATTAGATAGCCTTGGGGTTAAGGTCAACGCGGGCGGTTAGGCTTTACTCAACACGTCAATCTGGCGGGAATATAAGATGCCAGAGTTAACTAGAGCAGATAGGATTGCTGCTGCTCAAAAGAGAGTAAGCTTGCTTATACAAAACTATGCTGTTCGGAGGCATTTTGATTTATATAGTTTTTGATAATGAACACCATCTCATTTCAAAAGACGAAATATAATAACCTACGAAAACCTACAGGGTCAAGTTTTAGTGTTGAGCTTCACTTTTTTGCAGTATATTGGGATTCTGGGTTTACTGGTACTGGACAGTCGTCTGTGTCCTGCCCCGGAATGCTGGTTTATAATTAAGTCGTCAGTGACGCGAATGTCCTTTTGTTGTAGAGAATGTTTGCGTGCATTTTTTGACCGAAAACAAGTATTTTTACCATACATCCGTTAAAGGGCTAGGCCAACATCTCTTGAGTTCGCATAGCACAATGATTTAAGCAGTGTTTAGGAATAATTACTACTTAAAAGTTAACGATTATGAAGGAAATGCTTAATTTTCTCTATTGTTATGCACTCCGTTTCAGAAATTTAACTCACTTAAGTTCCGAGGCTTTTTCAACTGGTATCTTAGCCCCATGTGTTAAATTGTCTCATATCATTTTTCACTTAGTGGGTCTGCCTAACGTGAGATGTATGATGTAAATGTCAATCAAGGTTGCATGGAAGTAATACATAACCATGGTTACATTTCTTAAGAATTATTAATAATTTAAGCTTTTGATACTAGTACATGTACTTTAAATCTGCTTCTAACATCACAAGTTTTAATTCAACACGACTAATTATAATTTCAATTTAACACTAACTTAAAACAATGGATTTAAGGTTAAAACTCATAGTTTATTACTATTTGGTTGCAATGTCCAACTCTACCTACTTTGATTTGAGTACCAAGTTAATATGAAAAGTTCACATTAACACCAGCTTAAAACTTAGTATTTAATATGTACTCGGTAGATTAATTACTTATAAAGTGATATTTTAAAGTTAATACTTATTCTATCACATTTTATCGCATGAATTTTTTTAATAGCTTAGAGAATTTCAAGCCGCTAAAGCTAATAAACAACCAAATGAAGCTTATGTAAATCAAGCTTATTTCAATGTCTCGGGGACTGAGAATTATCAAGTGAGTGATGTAAAGACTTTCAATTCGTTCATGATTTGTTTATAAGGAGCAGTCACCGAAAGGCTTTAGGCTCAGGTTCCACATATTTTGAGTCTCGTTAATAAAAGCATATTTTCCACTTCAATAAGTTTCATTATTATTAAAAGATTCGAACCCATCTGTTTACTGGTGCAGTTGACGTTGTTACCTTCTAAGCCCTACTTACAAGTATGTAGCTACACTACTTATCATCTGGAGAACATTGGATAAAATAGCTCTTACACCAAATAAATGTCATAAAAACTAGACAAGGCTCTTAACCTTTGGTTTCTAGTTTTACCAGGTTAACAGTAGCAAATTTGTGGCCCATCTTCAGCTAGTTTGTTGTTGTGTAGCGGTTCTGTGTTTAAACAGATTGAAATAGGCCCGACGATAACTATAAACAGCTTTTTAGGAATGTTTAGCTTCTGAATAATGTCATCAGAGTCACTTAAGGTGTTTGTTTTAGGCCAGACATAACATTGAAATCAATATGTTGTAAATTTAGGGTTACTGGTTCTACTTTACATCTTAAATACCTTGTTACTACACAATTATTTATCGTTTGAAATTACAACTTAACAGTCAGTTTACTTCTTTTTCAGACAGATTTCGTACTACACGAAGATAATCACTTCACGTAAGTGCTTTCCAGTACTTATTTACTAAAGTGCAAGATTTCTCAAAGTTGATTTTCATTAATTAACAACTTATATCTAGTTCGAAAACTATGCTGTCTAGAGTACGTAATTCATTCTTCAACTTAGTCAAGTAGTCTGTGTCTACCATCAATCCATTATTCAGTCAGTTACAACTTAGAACTCCATGCCTACGTACATCAGTTCAAGTTGTCATTCCCCATTAGCACACAGATGGAATTGTCAATTGAAATCCTATAGTAGTAGAGGTAGTAGAAGTTTTAGCAGTAGTGGAAAATATTACGGTTTGAAGATTCGAGAAGTATAGTTCAGTGACATAAATTTAGAAAAAGGCAAAAGTTAATGAGGAATCCAGTAGATTAGAATCAGGGAGAATACAAAGGATTCATGCAGCTGTACCATCGCAAACGGTTTTGAGCCATGTCATTCAAAGTTTCTAACCATCGGTTACTGTTGTCTCGCTTACCCCAACCAGGTAGTCTACACCTACTAATATGGCTCAGTCCATTTGTTGGTGCCTTCATGGATTTGTGGCATGTTTCAGTTTGGCCGCTCCCTAGCTTTTCTCCAGCCTTACCATACATTACCATCAATCTGTAGCGAATGTATGTAGAAGAAAACCATTTGAATTTGCAAAAATTATTGCACTTAAGCTGTTAAGACTTTGTGGAAAAAATGGATAAGTGTATGGAGAAAGCATTTTTGTACGAAGCTAGAGAGGGTTTATATATATACATATATAATATGGATGGATCCCATAATCTATTCATGCTGTTTCATACGCTAATTGTTGATTGATTATGTCTTACTTACTTTGAATAGCCAGTGTTATCTCCCATTTACTTATTAACTCTAACTGTATGTATTAATTCGGTTCTTACAGACCACAAATTGATAGCGGTCATTCCTATCAACTTGAGCAAAAGCAAGAAGAACATCAGGCACCATCTCAACATGGATATGTCAGTGAAAATTGTGTAAATGTCTCAGTAAATCAGCCACAGTTAAATTTATCATTATCATCTGCATCAAGTGTACCACAGAGTAATGATACAGTTATATCACTCACTGACTATTTCAATAATCCTACTCCCTACTATCATCATCCATCGCTTGAGCCTCTTCCTAATAATTATGATACTGATAAAAATTCTGTTTCTTTTAATGAAAACGTCAAAGATGTTGTTTTAAATGACTTAACAGTTCATTCAAATCTCACTGATAAGCATCAGGTTGTTGCTTCATCATCCCCTAACCCATCGTCATCTGCATTTCAAACACCAAACAAAATTATAAATCATACTATACCAGTGACTAGTAATACAGAATACCTCAGTTATTCTATGTATAATCCTAGTAATAAGGATAATCATAGAAATGATGTCGATATATCTGCTAATATCGAATTTAACAATCACCAAGATAAATTAAATTCTAACAATCTTACTGTTTGCACAACATCATATTATCATCCTTCTTCTGAGTCTGCTGCTATTTATTATTCTAATCAGGCAAATGATATGCACTATAGACAGTCCACTTATCCGAAATCTGGTATTAAAGTAGAGGAGGAAGTGATAAACAATATGTAAGTTGTATGTTTTCAATTTTTTTCCCCATGGTTTTACACTTCATGGTATTGTTGGTTTCATATTCAGTTTACTCTAGTCCAAGTTGGTTTATCTGACTTTGAGCTACTACAGTCAAGTGTATGCGCTGACGATATTACTTGGTTGCTGAAACCGAAGTTAGTGGAGCAGCAGGTCTCGAACTCTGTACTTTGTAGTTGGAGGCTGGATCTCTCATTCACTGTACCTTACCTCTTGGTTAGTTGTGTCACATTGATTGATGTATTTCTTTCCTCGCTCTAAGGTAACAGTGACTTTGTGACAGTTGATATTCAATCACTTAGTTAGGATTTGTATATGGCCTCGTTTACCCAGCTTTGAACATTTAGGTAGTGTGACTATCACTCCTTACGGATAAAATGTTGCACAGTCGATAATACCTAATCTGTCCAATAAATGCGCGAAAATCTTGTTTCTCACAAAATACTTCGCATCTGTGCCAGTAAACTTATCTCCCATCTCTATTTTAATTCATTAAAACATTCATAGAAATTTTCATAAATTATCCTTTCAATAATGGTTCTACTTTTTTTCACTTCTATATCGCATTAATCCCACTTTTGTCCAACTATTTTGAATCTCGTGAACGAAGGGGAGGATGTAAAGTATGAGTAGTAGAAATCATGGTCTAAGGTAGTTATATCATGTCCCAGCAACCCGTATAAGATCATTGTTGATTTCCCATGGGAGTTTTCACCTATTTAATAGACAGATCATGTAAATATAAAGATTTCAAAATGATAAACAATAATCTTCATGACTCTATGATGAAAAATATAAAGACGATGGATCGCATTTTCGATCATAGGTGTCTTCGAAGCATTGCTCGTATACCGTGGGACAACCGAGTAAGCAATGCTGTCGTTAGGAAACGGGTGCTAGGCAAGGATGGCAGATCAATCGATGAAGTGGTGAAACTTCATCAGTTGAGGTGGTTGGGACATGTGTTGCGTATGTCGAACCACCGACTGCCTCGACGAACTTTGTTTTGTAGTATAGGAGTAGGTTGGAAGAAAGTTAGGGGCGGCCAAACCAAAACATGGCAGAAATCCATGAAGTCATTGACGAGTGGACTGAGTCATGTCGGTAATTGTCGACTACCTGGTTGGTGTCCACGAGATGATAATAATCTATGGTTAGAGACCTTGAATGACATGGCTCAAAATCGTTCGCAATGGCGCCGGTGCATTTATTCTTTGTGTTCTCTCAAACCCTAATCTTCTGGATTCTACAACCCCTCTAGTTTTGACTTTCTATACTTTTCTCACTGAATCATACTTCTTGAATAATATCTTCTAATCCTAACCTCTCCGATTACTTCTAATACCCTTACTAACTCTTCTTCTATTGGATTTGAATTGACAATTATATCTCTGTGCTGATGTGGTATGGCGACATGAACTGATGTACTTACGTACGAAGTTCTACGTTGCATCTAACTGACTGACTGACTGCATTCAGTAAAGATTGGATCAAGATGCAACACTAAAGTCAATATAGTGAGCTCTTAAGTACTATGAGATCATTCGTTTATTGAATGATACCCATAAAAGTAAAAGTAATAACGTAGTTCCTGTACTTGTCTTAGTTTACTGAGTTCAATTAACTAACGTGTCATTTTAAAATAAGAGGATCCTCCAACTTCGATATTATTTTCGTTATTTATTATGAAAAAAAAGCAAAACGTGACGAAACAGTTGCACGTCATTTTTTGATTTCCAATTTGATAATTTACAATTCAAAAGCAAGATTAAAAATAATCGTTATCATTGATACAAGTGTTATAGCAGTCTTAAATGAAAGTATATTAGTCTTTCGAATGATTGTACTTGGTTGTGGTTGTGAACCGGAAAATTTTAATAAATGTCATCGACTATCTATTTAAATATATAATGCAAAGCTTAAAAATTTTTATGAGATATTAACTGAGATTTAGCTGTGAATTTCAGTTAGTTAGTTAGTTGCAACGTAGAACTTCGTACGCGTGTACATAAGTTCATGTTGCCATACCACATCAGCACAGAGACGCGAATGTCAAATCAAATCCCATTATGATTGAGATAGTAGAGGTATTAATGGTAATGAAGAAGACTAGGTTTCGAAGATATTGTTCAAGAAGTATAATTCAGTGAGTGAGATAAGGTTAGAAAGACAAAGG